AACGAGATTAGATCGAAGGCACGAACTCTTTCTCTTCTGGTTTGCTCGTTCCCTATTGTTTTTTTTTTCTGCTGCTGCTTTTCTCCTCCCATCCCCCGTTTTTTTTTTGTTGTATTCTATTTTCCTTTCGTTCTCTCGTGTGTTTATTCTGGGTTTGTGGCGGTCGCAGTTTTCCCTAAGATGTAAAGGGAGCTAATTTGGTGGATCCAGTCCGGTCCCAAGACAATTCCGAGTGGATGAAGGAAAGTCTTAACGTTGTTCCTGCGGGTTTGCAGAAAAGACCAACCGACCTTCCACTTTTATTCTTTTTTGTGTGTGTTTTTCTTTCGGAATTGGCGCGCCCCCGGCACTTCCACCACATCCCTCTACTCTATTCTCTCTCTCACTCACTCACTCGAACAGTAATTCCTCTTACGTTGGAAGCAGTAAAGAAGAGAGATGGAGAGAGGATGGGTGCACTCATCAATGTTGCACGCGGCGACGGACATAAAGTTGTCCGGTCTGGGAAGGCGGTGGCCGGTCGGGATTGCAGGATGTGTTGGGTGGATGGTGAGGTTGGAAGAGGAGGAGTAGTTCCGAGCAGGCAGGGATAAACCCTCAAGGGAAACTTTTAATTGGATTAGAATCTAATTTGGCCGTAGTGACCGCAACTAGAAGAACGGTACGAAACCAATCCATGCATAGAACTCAATTATTTCTCTTGTAAATCGTTCACTTAAAACTGCACACTCGTGAAACAATTCTCCCGATTTAATACATTTTCTCTGCAAATGCAGATCGCCACGCGCCCAATCACTACCACCTTCATCATTTCCGACAAATTGACGCAATCTCCAACTAATGCATATTTAATTTCCAATGATAACACCGAATGTTGAATTACATTAAAACTGAAACTTATTGATTTTGTTTATTCATCATCGAAAATTACTTTTTTTTTTGACAAAATAATTTTATGTTCTAAATTTACTTTGTTTTGCAATTTTCAAACCGCACTATGCGAGGTATTGCTCTATTTATCATTTACATATTGTAAACTACATGTATATTTATGTAATAATATGAATCTAGTTTAAAAGAAACCAAAATAAAAAAATCATTAATGCTTTTTAATTTTGAAATTTGTTTGGAATTTTATTAATAATAATTGAATTTATATGTGGATCTTCATTATAAAATTAATTTAGTTTGTATTTATTTTTATGGTTTACTTTTAAAAACAGTTTTCAGTATAATTTTTTGTTGTTGTTGTTGCTATAAATATACGAATTGATTATCTAAAACCGTCGTTCGTGTACGTGTGGATATAGTTTGATGGAACGATTTAAATTTCAAATGGAAATCAAATATGCATGATCCATGGATGTCTAGTTGACAGCGGTGTTAAAACATTTCACAGGAGGACGAGAGCCCACGGCTGATATCCGCCAATTGACCCAAATGTAATCCATCGCGTCCTCCGCTTGCCAATTCAGCAATGAACAGAACAAACGGAAATATACTACTACTACTACTGATACATCACACTGACAACACTGGATGAAATTAAATCCATCTGTAATAATATACAAAAAAAAAACAGTATACCGACAATAAACGTGTCGTCAAAACTAATATGATTTAAATCACGTAATAAACTACAATAATTCGGTTTAAATATATATATAAAGAATTATGGAGAAATTGTGAGAATAATAAATTAACAAAATTTCAAAAAAAAAATGAAAAATTTCATAAATTATGTTTTACGAATAATAACATGATTTACTTAATAATATATTAAATATTTTACATGTATATTATAGAATACATTAATTGGATAATTGAGATTTTATTATGTATTGAATATTATTTTGTAAAGTGTCATAAAAGAAGCGTTACTATTTAAATTTGCCTCCATTTGTATGCCGATAACTAAATATAAATTTTCATGAATTTATTATATAATATGGATTATGAAATTGTCATTGAGATTCTTTTGAATTTATTAATAAGTAAGCAAAACAAAAATTAACAAATTTGATTTGAAAAAAAATGAAAAATTTCATAAATTATGTTTATGTTTTACTGGATAATATATTAAATATTTTACAGGTATATTATAGAATACATTAATTGGATAATTGAGATTTTATTATGTATTGATGAAATTGATAAATATTATTTTGTAAAGTGTCATAAAAGAAGCGTATTTGCCATTTGTATGCCGATAACTAAATATAAATTTTCATGAATTTATTATATAGTATGGATTATCAAATTGTTATTGAGATTCTTTTGAATTTATTAATAAGTAAGCAAAACAAAAATTAACAAATTTGATTTGAAAAAAAAATGAAAAATTTCATAAATTATGTTTATGTTTTCCTGGATAATATATTAAATATTTTACATGTATATTATAGAATACATTAATTGGATAATTGAGATTTTATTATGTATTGATGAAAGTAATAAATATTATTTTGTAAGGTGTCATAAAAGAAGCGTTACTATTTAAATTTGCCACCATTTGTATGCCGATAACTAAATATAAATTTTCATGAATTTATTATATAGTATGGATTATCAAATTGTTGTTGAGATTCTTTTGAATTTATTAATAAGTAATCAAAACAAAAATAAACAAATTTGATTTGAAAAAAAAAATGAAAAATTTCATAAATTATGTTTATGTTTTACTGGATAATATATTAAATATTTTACATGTATATTATAGAATACATTAATTGGATAATTGATAAAAGTGATAAATTTTATTTCGTAAAGTGTCATAAAAGAAGCTTTACTATTTAAATTTGCCACCATTTTGCCGATAACTAAATATAAATTTTCATGAATTTATTATATAATATGGATTATGAAATTGTTGTTGAGATTCTTTTGAATTTATTAATAAGTAAGCAAAACAAAAATTAACAAATTTGATTTATTTTTGTACAAATTGAATTCCATTCAATATATTTGTATAATATTATATTTTTAGGGTGATATGATCGAAACTAATAGGATTTAAAATCGATGTCAAAACACTTTTAATAAAAAAACTGATATTGAAACTGGAAATAAACTGCGCAAAATCGTTGTGTATGAAATTTGAAATATGTTTGAGAAACATCTAGACTAGTGGATTAAATGTGTTATTCTATGTCTCGTAGATAATGCAGTGTATGGATTCAGAGTATTGGAGACTGTGGGGGAGCGAAGTGAGACGGCGCCAGACGGTCTGGCGCCAACCGCCAAAGTTCTGGGCGAAACCCATTTGTAAATGGTTTATTTAACTTTATTATTTTCTTTTTGTCGAGAAGCGGAGAGAATCTCTGTGGCGCCGAACGCCGGAGCGAAAAAGAATGTTGGCGCCGGTCGGACCATCAAATTCTGTTATTGCCATCTATCTCTTATTCACTGGAATAAATCCGTCGCCCGGAATAATAAAAGCGCACAAAAAAAAACAAGAAGAGGGGGCGGCGGATACGACAAAACAACGGCGTTCCTTAATCTTCCCGAAGGAAGAGAGAAAGAAAAAAACGAATCTCGATGATTATCGTCGCAAAAAAAAACAATTGTGGCGGAGGGAAATCCCATTCCCCGGATGCGAAGCTATCCTAATCCTTCTTTTTCGATTTGATAAGAGGTCTGAAGGGATGGATCGATATAATTGCGCTGCAAACTACTTGTCTAGCTTTTCCGGAAGCACCAAAGAAAACATTTCATTAATAAAACACCACTTTTTTTTTTCTCTCTCGGCGCATTCAAATTCACGATATTGTTATGTAAACTACGGTCGAAATGATATTGATGAGTTTCCAATCTACAGTCATTAACTTAATGTCTTCTTAACGATACAGTTTAAATAATATAATATTTTTACATTGAAAAACAATTATTTTACGTTTTTTCAATTACGATCGACTTTTTTTTAATGTTATATAAAAGGTAAATCACATTTAAAGATCAATTTAATAGAAAAATACAATTCACAGTTTCTTTTTAAAAACGTACATTAATATTAAATAATATTAAATTCTTTATATTTTCGATTTACAATTTGCTTATTGGATTTTCGTTTTTAATCAATCAATTATTGTTAAAACATTTATAAAGTATATTGAATAGTCGCAATTAATAAGTGATTAAATATGTGTAATTTGATGCAGTGGCAGGATTCTTTTATTCTTCACTTTCAGTTCGTTTTCGACTTTCTTTTCGCTCGTGTCTGCTCGATTTCCGTGGCAAAAAGCCGTATTTCAAGCTGAACATTTCAGTCGGTCGGTTTCCCCTGAAAATTACTTATCACCGGGCGCGAAGGTGAATATCCTCGTCTCTCCGCGCTCAGCAGAGAGGATATGGGTTCGGAAAAGCCGGGAAAGCGGCGATTTCCCGCGGTAAAGGTTACACCCACCACCCTCCAACATCGCGATGGTGGTGGTTGATTGATTGGGACGATACACGCCACAAGACGTAACGCCATCAATTCTTTCACTGTATTCCTTGCTTAATACAAAAGACCTAAAATTAAGACCGAAAGGAAAACATTGCTCGTATGTATTTATGTAACAGTTTATGACGGCTTCTGGAGAGGAATTGGAACAAACCTTCTCCTTCCCTTCCGCCCTTTACACGCTGTAATTACCGAGTGTTGCTGAACGAGATGAATGACTCGAGTGGAATCGTTTTTATTATTGATGTAGCTTGAACGTGTACAAATCCCGGCAACTGGATGGGAACCAGAGACGGTACATTGAGTCCGTGAATTATACGTGGGGCTTATGCAAAATAGCTTCAACCCCCTTCTGTGGAAGGAGGGTTTTGCTGCTCACACTCTCTTTCTCTATTTCTACAGTCGCGGACGGCTCAAAAACAACACCCTCTTTAACACACTGCCTCGGCAACCCTTCAAGAAGGCAAAAACTGATTAATTTCACCACCCCTACATTTTTTATGTGTGTGTGTTTGTGTAAATTGCTAAAAACTAAATTCACTGTTTTGAACGTTTTCAGTCGGATGCGACAACTGGCAGGAATGGTGGACGTACGACGGAATCTCAGGTGAGAATTTTATTTAATTAAATCTAATATTAATATATTATTTACTTATTACTATTAACAAAAAAATATTTAAATAATTCATGAAATTGATAATATTTTCAATGATTTCTTTGTAATAAATCAACAATTTTATTCAGTTAAATCTGGCGGTGGATGCGCCGGGTAATTATATTTATCAAATTATACAAAATATTATGAATCTTAGTTAGCAAAAAGCTTAAACTTAATTTATTTATACATATTCAATCCGCGTAGGATTTTAATGCTTGCTGTAAGAAAATTATGGGTACGAAAGTAAGTAAATCGTCGAAAGATAATTTGCCACTTTAATGCGTCGGAGATAAGAGGAGAGATGGCGCTAATCAGTTTGCAATTCAACGCCTGGTTTATGCGTGTACACACACACTGCATATCGGTTAATACGTACATGGAATACAGATAGGGCGAGAGAGATAGATAGTTTAGTGTACGTGTGTCGCGTTCACACCCTAATTATTCCCACCGGTGAATTCAATTTGAATTATATCTTCAGTGCGCTCCACGCGAATTACCATCGCAACCAAAACGATTCCTCTCTCTCTCTCGCTGTGTATGTAATTGTATCCTCTCTCTCTCTCACTTCGACATTAGCAGTTAACATGTACTTTGTCTCTTTCTGCTATTTAAATCTATCCCACACTCGCGCGTGCACACATTTACACACGCGGCGGCATCCAATGACATCATCATCATCCATTCCAAGCCAACTTGAATATCAAACACTTATACAAAACGTTATCATATTTTACGATCGCGTGCCGCACAGGGGAACGTTCATATATCAAAACCCAATGCAAATCTAACACTCTCGACTATACTACTACCACCACCACCACCACTACAGATTGCTCATTTCGACATTGTCACAAGGGCGCATTAACTGACTCGTCCTAATCACACGATATTAACATATGCATTTATAATCTATCCTCCTTTCAATTTTTCACAATTACTTTTCTTTGTGAAATTCCAAATATGAAAATTTATAATATAAAATTTTGTAGACCAGAGGTTCTCAAACTTTTTTGTGTCGTAGACCACTGGCCATGTTTTTCGGTTTTGGGTAGATCTGATATTGATTTTTTTGTAAATTTCTTTAGTTTAGTGTTAAAAACTTAAAGTAAAAATACATGTTAAGTTTTATACATTTACTAATTGAATTTAAATTAAAACTAGTCAAAATAAAATTTTGTATCTGTTATATAAAATGTACTAAAATAACATAAAATAAACTAAGCAATAAGTAAATGTTTTTAGTGAGAAGGATGAACTTGATTCTTTAATAATAAATTATCAACATTTGGCGTCAATTTTGTAAGGTTTAATCTTAATTTTATAAACATATATAATATTTTTTTTACTTCATAGGTACTTTTATAAATAATGTATATGTCTTTATATTATAAGATGGTATAATGTAAGTAAATAGGTACTATCAGTACCCACATTTTCATTACATGGACCCCCAATTTTTTTGTTCGCTGACGTAGACCCCTTTCAGGTTGTCATAGACCACTTTGGGAAACACTGTTGCAGACAATTAAGCGATGCTTGTCTAAAAAAACTAGTAGTTAATAGTCATGGAGACAGATGTCACTGATATAACTAGAGTCGAGTCAACTTGAATAATGCATGTCACCATATAAACTTTAAGTTATGGTTAGTGCTATAAGTGAAAGTATATTTTGTATTGTTGTACGTATCTTGTTAGAGACTATGGGTACGGTTAACGAATGGAGGAAGTTTATCGGATTTCCGAAAGGTTCGGATCCGATGTTAAAGTTCTACCTGTCCGAAGCGATCTGTTCGAGTTTGCTTGGGCTCTCCCTCCCCCATTCCTGAAAGTTGTTGGGAGAGAGGTGGGTTGTAACGTCGGGCGGCAGCGGGAAATCAAATAAAGTTGGTTGTTTGGCGTTGTGTACGTCAGGAGCACGTGAGTTCGTCAAGGGATCGCAGAAAAAGGTTCGGAAGGAAGGAAGGAAGAAAGGAGACACAAGCCTGTTCCTCGCTCATCCAATATGCATAAACATCGCGGTGGCAGTGAGGGAGGAAGAGGAGAAGAGTGGCAGGATGGACCGCAGCACATGCATTATTCCCGTCGCAAGGGGACAAACCTGCAAGAGCAACGCCATCTGCGACGACCGCTGACTCTTTCTCCTCCACCTCCTCCTCCTCTTTCAACCCGTCGTTCGGCCTTTCCACATGGAAATTAGCGCGCGGACAGACTGCAACGGCATATTTACTTTTACCGAAAGACACGTTCTCAACTCACGACTCAAACAAGATGAAATATGGAAGAGTGGAAGGAACGCGTCGTCCATTGTAAACTAAATGTTGTCGGCATTTCTTTAAAATGCTGCAAACATTTCGAGAAAAACATGCCAACAAACTTGTTACAAGTGTATATTAACAACGGATATATCAAATTTCTTACGTATTTAGTAGAAATTGCGTAAAATAATATGTTCAAGCAATCAGTAGTGATACAAATGTTGGAGTGTCAGAGATTAGATTGCGGTATGCGGCCTCTTCGCGGATGGATGGCTTAAGGATTGTTGTGTAATATGAGGATTGCGGATACGCAACGTCGATACGTACGTACGGCTTGTAATGTTAATAGCTGGAAACGGCTTTGATATTGTAATACCCATCCAATAATGCGATATTAGATATGCGTTGGTGTGTGTATTTATATGTACGTATGTATTTGTGTGTGTCTGTAATGCGAGGCAAAATGCTAATGCGTTGGTAATTTTCATCAGTCAGCGAGAGTGCAGAGAGATATCTGGCAGCAGGCATATAATATCACTGCTGCTCTCCGCGAACTATTTATTAAACAATGCCGAGCAAACGTTCGATGCGCACAAACAGTCCCTCTTTTCACACCCCCGAAACCTCACACCCTTCACCAACCCCAATAAACGTACACGAACAAAACACACACACACTGGCAAATATATATATACACGGTTGCATTTGGAAGCGAGATTTACAATAAAAGTGTCGGAACTTCGGGTTTCAAACGACCTAGTGCAGTGCGCACCAATGAAATTTACTGCACAAAGAATGACAGTGGATCTAATAAACCCTAGCTTTATGCAAGCTATCGCACAACAGAAATACTAATATATATTTAAAAAAAAAAAGCAAAAATCCATTTAATCCATACTTTGATTTTTTAACAAACGTTTCCTAACTTGGTGGAACGTTATCAAGTTGCTTATAATAATTCTATATTATTGGTGAAAGCGCCGGCGTTTTATTTTAGTTTTTAATTTAAATTTTTTGACTATATGTTGAATATAGAAATAAATCGTGTATGTTTATTATAGATTATTAAATGTTTTTATATTTTTCGTAATAATAATTGATATTATTTAAAACTTTCATATTCAATAGTTCAATACTAAAATTAGATAACAATTAATCATATAATTAACGTTTTATTCAAAACCATTTGGTTCCTGTTTAACTGACAGTTCGGACACCAGAGGGCACTGAATTAACGATTGCAATTATCCGCAGCGAACGCGATTTATTCATCGCCGTTGGGATGAACTTGTATCGAATCTTCGGGTGGAAAGGGGACAGGGACGTGGAAATCCAGACGTCTGAATATTTCAGATGCAGGAACGATGCGAGCTCTGCATTAAGACTGAAAATTTATGTCCGCCTAACCATCCGGAATGGTTTTATTTATGCGAAATGTCGATTCGATCCGTTCATTCCTTCATTCACTCTCTCGCACTTACGGTTAATCCGCCAGAAAGCCCCGAAATAATCTATCGCTCTCATTCTATTTATTTATTTATTTATCCATCACTCTCTCTCTATCTATCTATATATATATACAAATAAACGCTGAGCCAAAAGCCTCCCAATATTTCAGAATCACTAATCACCTAATTGGCTCGTAAATATAAACATTCTAGGCTCGTCCTTTTCTACCACCTCTGCTCTTTTTTTTTATTTGTTGCCTCCGCATCGCGTTTCGCTTCTGTTATTTTTTTTTGTTTCCTTCGTTCGGTTGTTGTTGTCGGCGTGTTGCTTCCATTAGATTAATTAAAATCTGTTTTCGGGGCCGGCCGGGGTCGTACTCTCTTTTTTTTTCCATTTCTTTCGCGCGCATTTAATTAAGATTAGGAATTTACAAGTGTAATTATTTTTCTCGGCGCTCTCTCGCCCGCCCCTCGTCTGACCCCTCTTTACGTCGCCGCGACGATAATGGAGTGAGGGAGGGGGAGCTGATTAGCGCGACTTCTTCCCCCGCGGTAATGCGTGTTTGCTTCGCTGAAACTTGTTGAGATGAGTTTCCGAAACAAAATAAAAGATTCCCGTCGCGAATTTCGCAATTAGGCGGGTTATTTAAATTTCACGTCGAAAGCCAAAGTTCACACACACACATCGCACCAAAAATAAAAAATATATATAATTTTCATGTATTTAAAAAAAAAAGGAAAATATTTTTTGTAGTTATTTCGGTACGTGCAATAAACGTGACTGGATGAATTTCGGGGCGAAACATAATTAAGGTAATTCGATTTTCGGGACGCAACAAAAACCGATGATTCGATTGCGCTTAATTTAATTGAATCGCGAACAAAAAAAAAAATGTTGTATTACAGTTTCGTTCGCTTACCTTTTTTTTAAATATTATTTTACTGGTGTTGTTGTTGTTGTTATTTTGATCGGCTACAATTTTCATGTGGAACTTTACATAGGTTTGCTTTGTTTTATTTTTGTTTATGTGAGAGTCCTCTATCATTCATTGATTGAATTAAACATTTAGCCGCGTGCGTCCTGGGGGGCGGGAAGGATGCGTGGGGTTTGGGGGGATGGTCGTAGGCAGGATTGTAGTCGCTCTAGGTTTAATCAGCCGGCCGGAAGGAAAATTGAATTGAATTCGGAAAGAAGAGAAGAGAGCGCGAATTGGAAACATAAGATATTCACGTGTCTAATCC